AGCGGGCGTTCATAAGGTCTGCCTGTGCAGCGACCACGGCCTCTTCAGCGGTCTTCATGGTAGCCTCTGCAAGGCGTTAAAACAAGGTTAACATTTGAAACCTTGCAAACCAGAATAAAATGAAGAATCGGGAAAACGGGGGAACCCACCCTTGGCCTGTGAACTAGAAATTCGTGAGCGCAGCTCGTCCGTTTCGTGGCGGTATTTTCGAGCAATTTCACGCAATTTGATGATATTTGTCTGCCGCTTCTCCAACTCTTCCTTCTGGGTGTTACACTGTGATCTGTTTGGCAAGAGGGATGAATGCACTTCGTTAGTCAGGCAATGTGACCTCTCAAACAGAGAAAAGGTGGCGACTTTGGCAAGCCAGGGATGACAGCGAGGGGGTTAAAGCGTAAATATACACCAACACGTGGTCACTAAGCATGCAAATAACGGCCAAGAAGTGGACGGAGGTAAGAGAGCTCAAACGTACTCTAGAGAGGAGACTTGGACATCGTTGACTCTTTTCTGGGCCTCCAGCTGGTCTACTTTCGCCGTCAGCTCCGTAATACGAGCGTCTAGCGCACTCACTTTAGCTTCAGCCTCACGTTCGCTAGCCACCTTGGCGTCCTCCAGAGAGCGCAGGCGTCGTTGTAACTCGTCACGTTCGTTGCTAGGAGGAAAATAAATCTGTCAATACATTTAGTTTCGAGGAAATGAAAGCCTTGAAACTGTGTCAAGTCTTAACATCGGTTTTCCTTCTCCTTTAGTGTGGGTTTAGTCTAAGGCAGCATGGCGGAGTAGAAGTTTATTGCATTATCATTATTATCATTACTAACGGATGGTAACCTCCTGTTAATACTCTTCTGCAAACCTTTTAGAGATGTCCGAAAACATGACCAAGGCTTGCCGCGCAGTCACAGTTGATTATTTTTCGCTATTGCATGACGTACAGCGGATGAATGACCAATACAAGCGAACATCCGTGTCCCAGGAAGTAATTGAGAAGAAGAAGGCTCGATGAATGACCGCATACTCTTCATAAGTAAGCAGTTACATTTATGAGTGAAAGATGGTTTGAACAGACGTTAATCCTGGCGTTGGACTCCGGTGTCAGTTGGTTCTAACTTGCGAAACCAACAGGTGCTTACCTTTTTCTGACGCATTAGATGTAGCTTCGAATGCGGGACGGCGGCGATTTCCATACTTGACGTAAAAAGTACAGACCTGGTAGAAGGGAGTTCAAAGATCGCGTTAGGGGACATATTGGTCCCATTGTGCCTCAAAACTCCCTCTCAAGCAACGTCAGCAACCGCATAGCGGCTGACACGATAAGCAGAATAACATTAACCAGAAAAACAGGGGACAATGTACTGGCCATTTCTGACTTACTAGCCGTCATCAACCAGTCATACCCAACGCTGGGTGTTACGACCCCTGAGGCTGTAAATCGCAACCTGTTGATTAGACATCGAACGCCCTAATCATCATATGGTTTGCCATTTGGCCACTTGGTTTGTGCTAATTATGAAAGCAATTCTTCAAAGTGACCGAAACATCTCCCTGAGAACCTTTCGCTCGATAGCTTTGTAGGCTCTCGTTGCGTGCAAAATCTTGACGCGGAATGCAAACGGACAGTTTGAAAATGTCACAAAAGTGGCCAGAAGACAGAATTTTTCCTCGAGCATGCCCTAACAAAGGAGAACGGTTGATTACCATGCTTGTTTGTATTCCTCAGGGTCCATGCGCTTGGTGGTCTCCACCAGACGGGTGCATCGTTCCTTCCATCGGTCCCGCTCCTCTTCCAATGACTTCTTCTCGGAGATCAAGAGATCACGGGCGTCCTCCAGGCTCTTGCACTGGCTACGCATGGGTTCAGTGTCAGCCCGCAGGGCGGCAAGCTACGGAAAGGGCAATGAATAAAACTGCAATACTCCCGGCGCATTTGAACGGCTGAGCAGGCCACGGGGTGCGTTAAGTCTTGTAGAAGCATTGAAAAATGGTCTACGAGGCGTAGATCTCAGACAAAAGCAAAAAAGATACGAGGCAAGACATGGGAAAAGAACCACCTGCCCTAACTTGGCACTAATCCTAACAATAATCTAGAAAAATAGCACAAGACCCCCAGAAGAGTGGGTTGGGGTGTTCTATTCCTGTGTCTTGAGGCTCGTCAGGAAAAAATGATAGACTAGCGCAGAGTGGCAACCAACAGAAAGATAGACGAAGTGAATAGGAGGGTCGGAAATGGACGGACCAACCAGATCAGAAGATATCTCCTTTGGTACTGCTTTATCACACTACCAGCTTACAATGTCTCACTTGATCCGAGTCAAATAACATCTCAAAGCAGAACTCCGATGAATTTAAAAAAAATTCTCAAATTTTTTTTCTACAAATCAGGAGAGCTTAAAATATGGATATGCGATGTGCAGTCGGAGGTCAACTCCACTATGAAAAATTAGTCAGGGGTTAGATGGCGAAACAGTCATCGATGAAAACCAATTGCTTCACCGAGAGCGATTGTGTAGTAAGGGTGACGAAGTAGCAATTAATGTGAGGCCACCGCTGCATCAGAACGTCTTGTTTAATTTCTGAGGAAATTAACGCGCGAAAGGTTATGAGAATATTTGAGGTGAAGTCCATCAGCTACGGCGGAATAACCACCTAATATTCACCTGCTACCAACAAATAGTCAGTAGTGTACAAATACTTAATTGTGATGCAGAACCGACAAAACAAGACCCCGGATTGGCCATTTCTGGCTTATTAGGCATCAACAGTTAGTCATACCCAATCTCAGGTGTGGATCACCCGAGATTCGAACCTGCGACCCTGGTGGCTAACACTCTACCACTGAGCCACGGGCTTCTGTTTGTGGTCGGTTGTGATCGGAAAGATGATGATGATAGTGTGGGGCCCACCGATTTAATACAGGAAAGTGTACGTGTCTTATGTTTATGTACGTGGTAGGAGATAATGCAGGCATGAGTCTATCCCGAATAACAGGGAGAAAATTATTAGAAGTAGCCTCGAGACGGTCACAAGAAACGCTGGACCTTGGGGCCTTGCAGATATCCCGTTTAGGGGGGTGGAGGGGAGGGGAGTGGGCGAGAAAAACGTACCTGGGCTTCTGCGCGAGCCGCAGCCTCACGCACGGTTTCCCTCTCCTGCCTGAGCAGACGGTTGGACTCGCTAAGAAGATTCAGCTGTTCCAGTTGGTTCATCAGGTTGGCGTGTTGGCGCGACGTCTCTGCCTTCACCTCACTGTTACGCCTTTCCTCGGCCAGTTTTGTCTGCAGTTCGCCGACCTGTCGTTCGAGGCTCTTGACACGCAGTGTTAGGCGGGCGACTTCGGCGTTGGCCGTCTCTTCTGCCGCCTCTGCAATTGACTTTTGACGCCTGAGGTACCTGAAAAGACACAAATTGTTTCCTAAGTGCACTTCCAATGATCAAAGAAAGTGGTCCTAATCACAGACAGCCGGCTAAGACGAATGAATTAGAAAACTAATTTGTGGTCGAGATAGAACATAAGAATGGGAGCTTACTCTAGGATCTGTGCGAAGTCCTCCGAGGCCTGAATTTGGTTGGTAAATTGCTCAGCCACGATTGTGTCCGAGGTCGACTGCTCAAACAGTTTGCGCAAGCCATTGAGTTGTTCAGTCAACTTAAGTGGATACAGAAGCCGACTGTTAGTGCGATGAAATAAAAATAAGCAGTACATAGCCGGCAAAATGGACGCATTGGACAGGTTAGCATTGGACGGAAAGCAGTAGCAGTTGTTCAAATGAGTACTCGACAAATTTCAAGAGTGCGCGTTTGAGAAATAACTATTTGGCAGACATTAGACGGATCAACGAGTACGGCGGAATAACATGAGGAAAAGAATGACAGTTTTTTGGTTACCTGCTATTGTCAAATAGCCATAAGCTAAAGCCAGAAAGCAAAGACCTGCAATTTAAATCTGGGTTCAGTCAGTCATATAAGTGGAGTAGCGGGCTCACTGCCTGGGTCTGCGATCGGGAATATAAAAGGCGCACGTGTGACGGTCACCGGCCTGTTCTGTACGCAGGAGCGGGAGGAGGGGCTCGGTTTCGCCTTGAAGCCACCGCGAAATAAAACCAATTTCTGCCAATAGCTTGGCACAGGCAGGCTTTTGCCAGCTAGTACGGACGACAGTGGTTGGGGCGACCGACCAACACGCTGACTGCCTCTAATGAACGAAAGCTTACTCGTTAACACGATTTGGAGGCCAACTACGGTTGGCCAACTGCGCACTGCTTAGCAGAAGCCTCTTTTGCACAATCACAAACAGTATAGGCGAAAGGGGGCAAGAGATGGAGATCTTCTTGGCACCATGCGAAGAGGATCACCAAGAAGGACGTACCTTGAGAATCTGTTCTTGCAGGCGATCAACCTCAGCGTTGGACTCGTTGAGTTTTGCACTCAGTTTAGCACGCTCCTCGTCCCAGAGACTCACTTGGGCTTCGATACTTGAGTTCGCATCCTTCAGCCGAGCTCGTGACGCCTCGAGTTCGGCCTTCAGGGCGTTTATTTCAGATAAGGCACCAGACGAGACCTTCCTAGCTTCCGTCAGCAACTGAAGGCGTAAAAGGCAGCAGAAATGAGTAAACTGATATTGTGCGAAGGCAAAGTGAAAAAAAAGAATCCAACGTGATGGGTTCTGCCTACTTTGTTGGGAAGACAGCATCAGACAACAGTCTGTGGCTTACGCTTACGTCACGCCCAGGCACTAGTTCCCACGCAAAAGCACCTAAGAAGCATCAACACGGTAGCTGCCTTACACCTACTACGAGAAGCTCATTCAGAATATTCTGCGGGAGGCGAAATGATAGTAAAAACAGTTGCATATGGGCAATTTAAGCAAAAGAACAGCGAATTAGATAGTCCGCCACCAGAGTCTACAGGAGAGCTAAAGACAGTGAAAGTTGAGAGCGACAAATACGTTGTGGGAGAACAACATCAATCTGAGTAGAGAAAGCCGAAAAAGCGGAATACACCGGGAGCACGTTCTACCAGGCCTAATCAAGAAAATGTATGCCTGGAGTTGTAGTATTGAATGTATGAATTCTTAAACAACTTTTAAAACTGCGCCTGCAAAAAGAACACCAACAGTGAGTACACACTGCGGTGGTGGAGTACACACCTGGACATCTTCGGCGTGCAGTTTTAGTTCCATCTCGTACTTCTCTCTGGCCTCACGAGCCGTCTTTTCGTGGGTTTCGATTTCCGAGCGAGCCTTGTTTTCAAATTCCAGGGCCGCGTCCCGACGCTCAATGGCCGCGGTGAGATCGGTACGTGCGACAGCCAGCTCTGCACGCAGATCAGTGCGCAGCTTGTTCAGCTCTTCGCTCAGACGAACATTCTCGTTCACTACGTCCTGGCGTTCCATCCTCTCCAGATTCAGTTGGAGTTCAAGGAACTCGCAGCCTGTAGGGTGTAGGCGGACATGCGACAAGAAGAGTTTACAATTAAGTAAACAACAGGAAATAACAGAAGTTGTTGACAACCAATAATAAAGGTGTAAAAATGTTTGAACATCTTATGAGGTGTCCGAATTTAGCCAAAAAAACTTACTTTGCCTTTGCTGAAACAGCATATGAGCAGATTAGGGGAATCCTAATTGGCGAACCGACCTCCGGCTTAACGACAGAACTGGTCCTACGGGAACTAGAAAATCATCCAACATTAACTTGTTTTTTGGCGCCTTTACGTCGACGACACGTTTGTTACTGTCAGGAAAAAACATGCTGTACAACTTCCACAACTTGCTCAACGTCATCTTCCCTGATGAAAAATTCACGAGGAAAGAAAACCAAGAGCAGCATCAGCCTTTCCCTGGTGTACTCGTCAAGCGAAGTCCTAGCCGTGAAATTGAGGCGACAGTCAACAGGAAGTCAACGAATACTACATAACTTATCAGCCCTCGCGGCAATCATCCGATGGCTCATAAAGGAAGTTGTGGGATCGCTCTTCAAACACATTCAGACTCATTGCGGCCAATCGGAAGAAAAATTACGCGGGGTCCGGTATCTTAAGGTCCAATTTATGTGGAATAGCTATCCAAAAGCGTTTATAAGAAAAACGTACGCGTTCGGTCACTGTAGACTCGAGTATAAATATCACCGAGTTATATGGTACTTTATAGCATACATTGAGGATGACTTAGAAATAAGTGAACAAATTGTTGCAGGACTAGCTGTCAGAATTGCAACGGCGGCATGAAAATCAAAGAGCAACTAAATTCCTAGGAGCAACCTGGGATAGTTCATCGTATTCCATGCCTTAACTGTCCTTGTAACTGGGACGGTCAGGCTGAACGCATGCTCGCTTCGCGCATACATGATCATAAGTTAGCTGTGCTACGAATTATCTCAAGTAGTGACCCACCTAGGAAACGGGTCATGAGTTCAACTTCGCAGCCGTCAAAATAATCGTCTGCGTCGAAAGCAATACGAGATTAACAAAAACAACATTTAATAAGGTCAAGATACCCAGAAAAGGATGCCATGCTTACGTTGATTGCGCTCCTCAGCTTCGGTGGTGAATGTCTTTTCGAGTTCGTCACGTTCCTTGCTGAGCGTAGCAATATGTTCCTCCATCTCATTGGCCAACTTCTGATACTCCGCGCTCTGTCCGCGGGCAGCCTCGAGAGAGACACGCAGCGATGCACATTCTCGCTCCAGATCACGAAAAAGAGTCGTTAGATTACTGTGTTCCAGGTCCTTCAGATCATCAGCTGAGGCTTCCGGTCGACTTCGCGCAACTATTAAGGTGGAGTAAAACGACTTAAGGGAAGTTCTTAAAAGGCTCCCCCGTTTATATATGGGGAAAATAAGGGTTCTTAGCTGTTTGTGTAAGGCTGCTCTTTTGAGTTTATATTTCAATGCTATTTCAATGCAGTTAGTGTTATGCGGACGCGAACGGTTACGCACTCAGAGCACAGAGCTGGAAGTGCACCCCAGTTGAGCCATGCCGGCAGACCGGCCGAGCGCCGTGAGCACACGTGACGCCCGCCCCCACGT